TATTCACACATTCCTTTTCTGGTTTGGGGGAAACAATCTGGAAAGTATAAAATACTCACGGCGTCCGTGCAAAAAGGAAGAGAATGTGGCACCCACTCAAGTGTAAAGTTAAGCTGATCATGGGCACATTTCAGGTTTTTGTGCCACTTTTTCTTTGCTGCCGTAAGTAGGTCTTTGCAGGAGCTTCTTGATCTTACATCATTGTAAAGTTCTCTTCCGTTCGAGTCTCCCAAAAAGATAATCTGCATGTTGTAAAAAGGTCATCAAAACCCATCGAAAAGACAAGCGGACCATAAATTAATAAATGAGAGAGGCTACACTGCGTGGTTCTTTATATTTTATTCACCCAAAACACGGGGAATCCCTCAGTTCCCTGGGAAGTCCAACAGTATAGGTGTGTTACGGCATACAATGAACACCGACTAACCCTAACCTTAACACCCCTATAATATTGCCCGGAAACTTGGGATTCCCCGGGTTTTTGTTAATAAGAAAAAAAGAACCTGTTACGAGAATGACATAACGATTCACTCTTTGGGGGGCCAATTGAAATTTACCTCTCAGCAAACCAAATTTTTAATACTGCAAATCAAACTCACCCTTTTGCAAATCAAATTCACCTTTTCGCAAATCAAATAGTCTGTGTGTGTGTGTGTGTGTGTGTGTGTGTGTGTGTGTGTGTGTGTGTGTGTGTGTGTGTGTGTGCAAACCAAGTTTTTCTACACATTTTTTTTCCCACAAAATCTCGTAACGTAAATGAAATGCAATTGAAGTTATTCTTAAATGGAACATTTCATTGTAACTATTTAATAACAGACGTAAAAACCTTATTTAATGGAAGGACTTGGCCCAAAATCCACAGTATGCTGATTCAATGGTGAACAATTTGCCAGTTTCCCCGGTCGAACCAGCCTAAAGTAGCTTAGAGAAATTGATTTGGAACTACAAGCAGGCCAAATGTTTACCCTCGTTGATTGCTCGATGGTCTTTAAAAATGATTCTAGCAATATATGTCCGATCTCTCAGTTTACTTGTTTAATTAACACCAGAATTATTTGTTTACTTATAGATTCCCCGATACCACAATTTACTTGATTTAACACCAGATAAACTTGTTTACTTATAGATTCCCGATACCACAATTTACTTGTTTAACACCAGATAAACTTGTTTACTTATAGATTCCCGATACCCTAATTTACTTGTTTAACAGCAGATAAACTTGTTTACTTATAGATTCCCGATACCCTAATTTACTTGTTTAACACCAGATAAACTTGTTTACTTATAGATTCCCGATACCACAATTTACTTATTTAACACCAGATAAACTTGTTTACTTATAGATTCCCGATACCACAATTTACTTGTTTAACACCAGATAAACTTGTTTACTTATAGATTCCCGATACCACAATTTACTTGTTTAACACCAGATAAACTTGTTTACTTATAGATTCCCGATACCACAATTTACTTGTTTAACACCAGATAAACTTGTTTACTTATAGATTCCCGATACCACAATTTACTTGTTTAACACCAGATAAACTTGTTTACTTATAGATTCCCGATACCCTAATTTACTTGTTTAACAGCAGATAAACTTGTTTACTTATAGATTCCCGATACCACAATTTACTTGTTTAACACCAGATAAACTTGTTTACTTATAGATTCCCGATACCACAATTTACTTATTTAACACCAGATAAACTTGTTTACTTATAGATTCCCGATACCACAATTTACTTGTTTAACACCAGATAAACTTGTTTACTTTATAGATTCCCGATACCACAATTTACTTGTTTAACACCAGATAAACTTGTTTACTTATAGATTCCCGATACCACAATTTACTTGTTTAACACCAGATAAACTTGTTTACTTATAGATTCCCGATACCACAATTTACTTGTTTAACACCAGATAAACTTGTTTACTTATAGATTCCCGATACCACAATTTACTTATTTAACACCAGATAAACTTGTTTACTTATAGATTCCCGATACCACAATTTACTTGTTTAACACCAGATAAACTTGTTTACTTATAGATTCCCGATACCACAATTTACTTGTTTAACACCAGGTAAACTTGTTTACTTATAGATTCCCGATACCACAATTTACTTATTTAACACCAGATAAACTTGTTTACTTATAGATTCCCGATACCACAATTTACTTATTTAACACCAGATAAACTTGTTTACTTATAGATTTCCGATACCACAATTTACTTGTTTAACACCAGATAAACTTGTTTACTTATAGATTCCCGTTACGTCAATTCACTTGTTTAACACCAAAAAAACTTATTTACTTATAGATCCTGAGACGTCAGATTACTTGTTTAACAGGAGAAAAACTTGTTTATCTTTGTCCCCGTAACCAAACAATGTATTATCTCATACAGTCCTCATGCAGGTGTTTGAGGTTAACAGTCCAAGTTCGCCTAAAAACCCGCGCCTGGAACGCGGCAACGAAAAACAAAATCGGATCGTCGGAAAACATAAACAGGATGCCGAGGTCACCGTCGCTGGAGCTCTGTAATTCGTGCTTTGTGCGACACTTTTATGTTACAACACGCGCGAATTCGAATGCAACCTTGTGTGACAAGCAATCGATGAAGAACTTTCGGAGATAAGCGATTAGGAACAAACGAACAAACGTGTTTATTTATATAGACAGATGCTTTAAATACGAGAAACAGACAGTGTTTTCTGGTGATATCAAGAAAAGAGAAACGACTGGATGGCTCATGGAGAGACAAAGTCTAGCATTAATCACCACAACATCTAGTTTGAGACTAGAGGTATAAGCAGTCACTTCAGCTTTCTACTGGTTTGAGAACAAGCTGCACACACATGTTGTGATTGTTATAGATTCACAAAATGCGCTGAGTAGATGAAGATAATTAAGCTTTGTGCAGAACAGCAAGCATTGCCTGAGGTTCCTTATAGTTAGTGTCCTTTCGATCTTTTCACCGCAGTATGCAGGTGTGTTGGGAAATTTATAGATAGACTGACTGCTGGCTAACAACGATGTTGTCAACGACGAAATGACGAATAACAATATGACCCACAACAATGTCAACCCTAACGATGTCACCCACAACGATGTCACCCTTAACAATGCCACCCTTATTAATGTCATCCACAACAATATCACACAAGGATGTCACCCACAACAAAATCACCCACAACAAAATCACCCACAACAAAATCACCCACAACAATGTCACCCACAACGATGTCACCCACAACATTATCACCCACAACGATGTCACCCACAACAAAATCACCCACAACAAAATGACCCACAACGATGTCACCCACAACAATGTCACCCCCAATAATAGAACCACCAGAGACGCAGTTAATATAACTTACGTGGATATTCCGAAGACACTCATCCGTGACTCTCTCTGGACGCCGACAGAGGTGTGAATGCCACAAGCCCTTGTACATGTAGCCGGTGGGTTCTGGCTGTTCCCATGTTTCTCTAGGGGAGATGGTTGAGCAGTTTTTAGATGACGTCAGCCGCGTCAGGTTTTTGTTGTCTGCCCCTGTCGGTGATGCATGTGGTAATTCAGAAAATAGGTAAACGTTACGCAAATCTTCCAAACAGAGTTGGCTCCGCTCATATGTACATTATGTCATTTTTGATTTGTATTTCCAGAGCCTAATGACCTTCGCACAAGGTTGCAGGGGTGCACCGCGATACCGTTCATATTACGTGTTGTTTATTCTTTCAGCACGGCAGCGTTTTTAACGGTCCAAAAATATTGAGCACTGGCCCTAACACAACTGCCCTACGAGAGTGCCTCAACCTATGTCACAGGCATTCTCTTTCTCGGAATGAAAAAGTAAATGCAAGAAAACACAGAAAGCAGACGTAGAGCAGGGACACATCCGTAACCTTCATCGAAACCGACCAGCCTAACAAACAATAAATGAAAAGTGACCTAATGCGTAAATGGGCGGGGCTAACTCTGTTTTTTGGAGATTTGCCTAATGTTCACCCATAAAGTGTAATAGTTGTCTGGATGTAAACAAAGTTGCAAGTTTTAGAGCACACATCTTCGCTGTAGTTTCATACGGATGTGAGTCGTGGACAATCTCAGTCTTTAAAAAAGAAAATCAGGGTTTCTGAGCTGAAATGATGTACAGCGACTCTCAGAATGCCATGGACAAAGAAAAAAGATAAGAATTAGATAATAAAAAACATATAAATATCAAGGATGATTGCCCATTGAGCAGCATTTTATCTTGAAAGCTGACATATTTAGGTAAATATCAAGCGCAATGGTGGACTGAAAAAAAATATAGAGGGCTTGGTACCAGGAAGAAGGGCAGGGGCCGACCAGCACGAAGATGGGCACAGGATATAAGTGACTCATTGGGTGCTAAACTGCAAGAGGCAAGAGAAGGTGGAAATGGGCTCTTTACTTTGCACCATATATCTTCTTCTGCCTTCCTAACCCCTGATGGAGCATGTGACCTTAACCAACTCACGCCAAGTCGTTCTATCCTTCGCCATTGCATGGAGCTTTCCCCACGTCCTCCCCATCTTTTTTAACTTCCCTCTCAAGCTCTCTTCTCCATGTGTATTTTTTGTCTTCCTTTATTTCCATGCCCCTGTGGGTTACACTGCAAAGACATTCTAGTTGTATTGTTCTCAGGTTTTCTCAACGTGTGTCCTATCCAAAGCCAGTGTCTTTTCTTCACCTCATGGTCCACCTGAACTTGTTTAGTTCTTTTCCAAAGCTCTACGTTAGTGATTTTATCATATTTTTTAATTCCCTCTGTTCTGCGGTGGCATTAGTTAATGAATGTTAGTAGTTTATTAGTAACTGCCTTAGTTGTTCTCCATGTTTTCCGCTGCATACAACTGTACTGATTTGACTGGTTAAATAATAGTTTTAATTTATTTTGACCTTCACAAATTCCCTACTGCTATGACAGCCCCTCTTACCATTTGTATTCGTATCCTGATATCTTTGTCAGTTGCCCCATCTTTATTTGCATTACTACCCAAATATGTGTACGACTCCTCGTCTTGGAGTGGGATACCATTAACAGAAACCTCATTACTATTTGCCTGATTTAACCTCATTATCGTTGTCTTTCCCTTATGGGTTTTTAGACCTAGTTGTTGTGATCTCGCGTCAAGCGAATTTAATTTATCTTGGCTTTGATTCCGTGAATGAGACAAAAACACAATGCATACCTGGTTAAGTATATCTAATTTCAATTATTCAGTGTGGGGTACACAGTACACATGAGGCTGGGCACCATGATGAATTTCATTTATTTAGTGAGTGTTTACACCAATGGGGATGCGTGCATGCAACGGCTGTAATTATTTTAATGTTTGTTACTATTGCTTACTATTTGTTACAAAGTCACGATTCGATTTACTTCTCGAACATACCGAAACTGAATGTGTACTCCACTCATTCAGAAACTGTTACGTGTGAAAGCCACAAGTTACAAGTACCATAATGTTAGGTGCGCACGCATATTCATTACGAGTTAAAAAAATGTTAGCGATACTCTCTTTAGCGTAATGGTTACCTGCTACGCTAACACGTGCAAATTGATAACACCTAACCACTGGTGTTGACAATAAGGACCAAGACAAGTATGCTGTCATCATCATGTGGCATACCAATAAGCGTACGCTTACATGTTTTGCCATCCCATACGATCACCTCAGTCATGTATCATGTCCGTGTTATTGTCTCATCCCATCCATATGTCGTAGCCATTCAGAAATTTGCTCTTTGCCTTTTCACTGTTCTCTTTCCATAGATGAGATTGAATATCGATTTTGTATTTAGCCGGGAGAGAAGAAAAAGGCCGGCGGGAGCCACAGAGGTAGAAATTTAGCAGTTAATTGAGGATAATGAATGTCCAGGTGATGTGATTATTTATAGGGATGGTTTTTCAGTGTCAAAAGACAAAAAAAGTGTCAGGGTGGGGGAAGGGGGGGGGGGGGGGGTCCTTAGCAAAGCCAACAGAAGACGTTTGGAGCAGGAGAGCTTAGCGTATAATACGAGAGCATCCGGCTTAAGAATGGATGTGGGGACGGCCACTGCAGCCTTCCGCTGGCTAGAGATCATGATACAGGCACACACACACGCACGTAATCACACAGACACACACGCACACACACTGTGATTGTAACAGACTCAGATAAGATACTGAGGAAGGTGAGTCCAAGCATGCTTCGTGCAGAGTAGCATGCTTCGCTTTGGAGGTCAAATGTGAAAAGCATTGATTTTTTCTCCAGTGTGTTGGGAAATGAAGAGTCGGACAGGTTGGTTGGCTGTGAAACTTTGTGAAATACTGATACATGATAGAGCAGACGTGGTTAGACCTTACTTGAGCATGTGTACAATTCGCAGCAGCAAATTGATCATCACAGTGTGGTGAGAGTGACGCAGCGGGGAGTGACGAGGGGCTCTCATTGATACTCGAAGCTCAGAGAAAATGCAAGACGGACATTCAATCAGACTGCTACGGGCACTACTAGGACTGGGACTCTGCGGTAGTTACTGAAGATGGGGACGGGGCGCTTATGAGAATAACCCGAGCGCTGTCATGTCAGTTCTTCAAGCAAATTAAATCAAATTATTTAGTGTGGTAAACAATAAGAAAAGATAAGCACACTAACGGATTTCAATACTTACTTACTGATACCGTCAGTGTTATATTAGAGCTTCCTGGAAATTCGGCCATTCTGTATGAGGAACACAACAACACAAACATACTTAAGTATTACGAACCATTGTATCTGTTAACAAGAGTTCACGTTACTGAAAATTCTTCAAGAGGTTACGTCACTCAACTTTCGGCCTTTACACGTGTGCTCAGATTTCAGATGCTGCCGCCATCCCCAAGTAAATTACACAAGAAACTATGTCTTTAGCTCAAAAAGGGCACTGACGTGCTTTGCACGGCTTTACCCCTAAGTAGAGTAAATGGGTTAGCGCAACATACTACTAGTTATCCACTAGCCTAAACCAGCTACCATTGACTTTATTTGTCTTATGTTTAACTTGTTCGGTCGTAGTGCTTACATTAGGTCAATCAATTGTTTTCAATGTCTTTGTAACTATCAATTGCCATAATTTTGTGTGTGTAGTTTATTAAGCAAATGAAACTTTCTTAATTTGTTTCACATGATGCATGTTATATATATATATATATATATATATATATATATATATATATATATATATATATATATATATATATATATATATATATATATATATATATACTAGCTGTACCCGGCCACGCGTTGCTGTGGCATAGTTTGGCTAAATGGAAATGAAAGAAAATAGAAATCGCACGTGTCTAATACAATCATTGTCTGCTCAGATATAGAGATAGTCTTTGATCCCCACCCCCCCCCCCACAACTAAATCCACCTACTACCCTCTCCCTCATCAAAGGTTTTTGGAAAAGAAAGACAATGGAAATCGCACCTGTCTAATATAGTTAATGTCGCAATCATTCTCTGCACATTTATATAGAAATAGTCTGGTTTCCCAACTTTAGAACACGCACCATATAATTGTGTCTTTATATTAGTGGTCGTTTAAATGGTGCTATTAGCACAGTAACAAAAGTGGTTAGTTATTTGGTTATCACCTGCTAAAGCTGTTTGTATTTTTAAAGGAGACGTAAGTAAAGCTACTACTGTACTTGTAAATAACAAAGTAAGTCGTACAAAAATTAGAATAGTGAAGGTAGTGTTAGTAAAATATAAACAATTTAAGTAAGTAATGAGAACTTAAAAATCATGTGTAAAGCTCTTCAAGTTCTCTTAAATTTCAGTCATTACCCTCTCCCCTCCCCTCTTCCACCGACTACTGCTCTCTCCCTCTTCGAAGGATTGAAAAATCATCACCTGGCTATATTCTTTTTGTTGTAACTGACATTGACATCCCTGTCCATCCGGACTAAATTGGGAGCAGGAATTGTAATAAGTAGTGAATGGGGCTAATGTAATATTTACCGCATCATCCTTCAAGTACCAGTACAACTACTACCACGACCACAAACACAGTAGCTAAAATAATGTCACTGCTATCTGTTTTACCATCGGAGTAGACAGGGAGTCGTGAGCCAGAAGATTTGGCGCCGCATGGCTAGTGCTGTCGCCACGGACTGGTCAGATTAGGATGTATGATTTCGCTCCCCGACAGAAGAAGAACCTTGCCTTTCAAACACCTAAGACCGGCGGTCTTCCACATGAGAGCACTACGGTGTAACCGCCCACCACAACTACCCCCCCCCCCCCCCCCCCCCCCCCCCCCCCCCCCATTGAAAACACTTAAACAGGAAAAATACACCAATTGGATGGAAACGCTATTGGAAACAGCAACAGCTAGAATTCACACCCCCCCACCCCTTAATCTAAATGAAAATAACCCGGGATGGATTTTTTCATGAATTGTCCGGTAACCCCCCACCGAAAAGTTTAAAATGAATCCCGAGTCCCCGAAAGGCTTGTCAAATTAAAACCCAACTGGTTTTACCCCCCACA